GAAGCGTCGGAAGATTTTACAACCGTTGACGATATCTGCCGTCCCAAAAAAGTGCTATTCGCTTCATCGGCCAAATCAGAGATGTTACTTGGTCGCGTATTCGTATTATTAGCATGAGGAATATGGGCGCAATTGCTGCCGAGGCATGACCTTTGCTGAAATGCACCTGTGACATTCGTGAATATCAAAGAGCTTTCTATGAGCATCATGGCCAAGCCATTTTTTCTATTAACTCGATTCTTGGTTTGACTGACGTTCTTTGAGTCCCCTAACAGCGTAGATGATTCCTGTTCACTTTCGGCTGCCGCTGCTCCGATCGTTTCCTTGTACGAGTAAGTGTGGTCGGTAATGCGCATCCCTGTCAAATTCATATGAAAACGTTCGTTCTGTGAATCGGTTCCAACAACGTTAAAAGAAGCTTTGACTGAACTACCTCCTTTGCTTTCCGTGGCTGTTTCATTATCAATAACCTCATTAACCGTGACAAATTGCCTCTTTCTGTTCTTGTCTGTGGATGCTGCCGATGAGCGCTCAGTTATATCTGCCATAAATGTTTGGGTTCCGTCATAATGTACGGGAGATTCTTGCTGGCGGCCGATCGCATCTTCGGTCTGGTTTCCTTCCTTCACTTTAGTAAGAAATGATTCGGGGGTTAAAGAAATGTAAGCCCAAGCAGTGCCCTCTTCTAAGACTGACGGTTTCGTTCGCATTACTGCAGCAGAATAATTTAAAGGGGTTTCAACTTCCGCGGTTGTTTGCATGTGATTCGCGATCATTTCATTAACCACTGTGAAATTTTTTTCCCCCTTTCCGGAAGTTGATGGCGATGTTGCATTGAAAGGTGAAACTGTTGAAAATAAGAGCTTTGTCCGAACAGTGCCATTTAGCAAAATTTCAAGTTCTGTTGGGTTTGCCCTTTCCACGTCACTAGCAGATGTTTCAGCGGTTGGAAAGACAGTGACGGTCGAATCTAGGTCTAAAACTGTCGGAAACGTTGGCTCTACCACGTCAGTGTGATAGTTAGTCCTTAATGAAGGCTTCAGTTTGCTTTCGTTTGGTTCGTCAAAGACGGTGGAATTAATCGAATCTTTTTCTCCAAACGAAGGCAGAGTAGTGCTTGTTTGTGTCGCTGGCTGAAATGTAGGCTTTTTGACGCTTAACATCTTCACATGATGCTCTGTTTGGGTAGTTTCCATTTCATTTTTGGTCGTTTTATCAAGGTCAGTAAAGCTTTCTGTACTAATCAAGGGGCGTTTTTTCGTTTCAGCGAGTAAAGTCGAAGAAAGCGTTATCGACGACGCATTTTCTCTGAGTTGTTGTTCGCTTAATGTTGCCATGTCTTCCTCAACCCCATGTAAAACTTTAGGTGTTCTTGATGCTAAGCCATTAACAACGCAATTTTGTTGCTTGCAATGCTCCGCTTCGAAACTTGAATTATGAGGGCAAGCTTTACCTCCTGGCATAGCATCTCTGGTCACAATGACTTGTACTTTTCGACCACAAAACGTCATGTTGGTTGAATGCAACCATTCGCATGCGGTCTTTACCAAACGATACTGACAATTCCGCACTGCTGCCTTTATCCCTATGCTAATCTTTTCGGCCAAAGTGTCATTCAGTTGTTCGACTGTCTCTACAGAAAAGTACAGCGACGGGTCAGAGGCTACATGTTTAGCGAAATACGCGCCACTATTTAATGCGTTATAGGGATGCAACTCCAACTTGTGAGTTTGGTTTAGTCCTACAACAGCTATATGGTAGCCCTCGTCCTTTAAACGCAATGACCAGTTAGCCGGCGAATCACTAGGTAGATATGGAATGCTATCAGTAAATACCACTACCATGTTCTCCACGTCCGGTCTATCACCTGCTGCTTCCACAAATACATCTTCTTTAA